GGAGAGAGGGAGAGAGAGAGAGAGAGAGAGAGGATCTTAAGCAGGCTCTATGCTCAGCACCGAGGCCAGTGTGGGGCTCTAACCCACAAACCATGAGATCATGACTTGAGCTGAAACCAAAAGTCGGACGCTTAACTGACTGAGCCACCAGGCACCCCGGTCGTGAGCTGTTTTTTTAATCTATATCCTTGTTCATTTTACATTTTATTTATTCATTCATTCATTCGTTCATTCATTCAGAGAGCAAGCTGGGGAGGGGTAAAGGGGGAGAGAGAGAATCTCATGCAGGCTCCACACTCAGCACAGAGCCCGACATGGGGCTCGTCTCGCGACCCCGGGATCATGACCTGAGCCAAAATCAAGAGTCAGACGTTCAACCGACCGAGCCACCCAGGCACCCCGTTACACATTCTCTTAAAATGGTAGCTGAGGCGATCATTCGTCCACACCACTTTTCCTTCACAGTGGCAATGAACTTTAAAAAAAGTGACAGCAGTGAGGTGGGTGTCTGTTGCCCGGTGGGTTCTTGAACACTGACGTCACTTAGGCAGTGCTTAGGGATACAAAGTCAGACCTTCCCGGAAAGCTTGTGGCATCAGGGGTGTTGCTCATGATCCTGTCGGTGGGGTCAAGATGTGACCTTAGAATAGCTCCTAGCGTGACTTTCCTGGCCTTGGAAAAAGAAGGTTGCTTCTAAATGCTGACCTGATAGTTTCGCTGTGACATCTCAGATTCAGGTAACCTTTTATACATTATTAACAACAAAGCCGGTGAACCGGCTTTTGGGAAAAATGGAAAAAAACAATATCATGTCTGTTCTCCATAGAGGTCAGGCTGATCTCATAAATTGTCATTCGCTAAATCAGAGCACAGGACTAACGTTTCATCTGATGACAGCTGAAACCAGACCTAAACAGCTGGTGACCTGCTTTCTGGGTCTCTTAGGTATCTGCTTCTCAAATCCAGTTAATTTTAAAAAACACCCTTTGTTGTTTTTTAAGTTCATTTATTTTGAGAGAGAGCATGAGCAGGGGAGAAGCAGAGAGAGGGAGTGAGAGAGTCCCAAGCAGGCTTCGAACTCTCAGCACAGAGCCCGACACAGGGCTTGATCTCACCACCCGTGAGATCATGACCTGCGCCGCAACCAAGAGTCAGATGTTTAACCAACTGAGCTACCCAGGGCCCCCCCCCCCCGCCAATTGCCCTTTAAGGTTGGGGCCTGGGGAATACAGCTCAGAACAGAACCAAACCATTATAGAAACCAACTAGATATGTGGAAGCAGAGACTCATTACAATCTAAACCCTCTGAAACTGAAGTTGGATCCCGACAGCAAGGCATTATTCTCTTGGCACTTGTACTTCAGTTGTTTCCCGGGAGGTGATAATTTGGGATCAGTTCCTTCTTACCAAGGACTCTGATGGTCTCTACGGTGAACCAGAGCTCTGAATGACAGCTGTGTCTTGTTGTGGCCCGTAAAGTTCCGTGTGTCCTTTCGGGTACGTTCCCCCAGAAGACACTTACGAGTTACTTCTGTGTTTGACGCATCTTAAATACAAAGTCTCTTGGGAAGCTGCT